ATTTACAATTTACACGTCAGTGTTCCAAATGCATAGTAATGTTGTTATAATAGATTTCATGCTAAGCTTTTTCTTAATTTAACTAAATTTAACTTATGCAAACATTTACATGATTACTTTAATTAACAAAAAATATTTTTAGAACATAAAAATATAATTGCTATGCTTTATATTTATTTAATTTATGATATTATTATAATAAATGAAAGATGTTTGTAATGCTAATAAGTATGTTTACCAATACCTTTTATTTTCTTTGTTAGCTCTTGCATTTATTGCTGTTATTCAAGTAATTAGCCTGCTTGTTAGATATTTTTTACTTGTTCTTGTGATATGTAATTATGTTTATTTATTTTTATTTTCCTTTTGGCTACAATTGGCTTCTTAAAGTTAAATTGTAACCCTGTATGCAGCAGGGGGAAGAAACTTTGATTGGCGCAGGGTGACTATAGCACGACCCAGGGGGGGGATTTTCATTAGCGCAGTTGGAGTACACCCTCCAAAACCATTTGTTACTTCTTTTAAAAGCTTATATTTTTAAGCTTACCAAAACTACTTTTAGTTTGCCTCTCCGGTCTTTAGAAGGAGAATTATAGTTGTTCTTGTTCTACACCGTAAGCCGGATGTTTCTGATTAAGAGCCCGGAAGCTGATATCTAAAATTACACATACTACTGTAAATAATTTATAAAAATGAAGTTCTCATTTGGATACCTTCGATTTGTTCTAAAGAGGATTTTGAACCTTTCTATTAGTTATTAAGTGCTCGGGAAGAAGATTAGTTTTAGCATTTAATTTTCATATTTCGCAACATTTTCTTTTCCTTCTGTTTGTGTTTGCATTACATTAAACATATTTTTGAAACTTTTTTTGGTACTTTTCCGTTTTGCCGGCGCAAATGATAAAGTCGCCAATAATGGTACAACTGATGCCAAACGGAATATCTTCGCTGGTAACCTTTTACGCTTCATTTTCAAAACAAGTCGCAGCCTTTTCTTATCAGGTTGATTGTTTCTTTCAATACTGGCATACAATTACATAGAATTTTACAAGATAGTTAAATTTTATGCCCTAAGACCATTCGCGGTAATTAAGTCAATTAAGATGCAATCACACCGCTCACCCGAAGGTGAAACTATAGAAAAGGCAAAATTAAGGGTTAAATGCATCAATTCTAACGAGAATGCATTGTGGTTTTACATAATTTCTGAGTAAGCTATTCGTACGAATTGAAATAATTCTTGCATTTAAATTTGTATTCCAAATTAATATTTAACTTGAAATTAATGTAGATAATTACTGAGAGAATTAGATTTTTGTAGCGTAGTTTACGTGAGATGAGATCGCTTGGGGTCACGTGATACGAACCGACGAATCAGGGATGTTGAACCATGAAAGCATAGTAAATTGTTAAATTAATGTCTTTTTACAAATTTATTGTCTTTATTTATTGGTTTTTTACAAAATTTTAAACCAAATTAAAATGTTTATGCCTTAAAAAAAATATTCTTAGAACTGACATTTGTTAACATTTTTTATGTGTATACTGTACGCTGTCGCCAACAAACTCTGCTTGGCGAGATTTGCGCCGTTGAAATGGAAAAGTACCAATTTTTTTAAAATTTCCTAATACCAAAGAAACTTTAACATAAAATGTTAATATACTAATTTTACGAAACTTTTCTTAAATATTCTAATAAAAACCTATAAATTAAATGGACTCAGTGTTTAGGTTTATGTACATGTATAAATTTTTTTAAACAATTTTGTAAACGAAAAGAAAGAAATTTCTCGAAATATAGGTAGTGCATGTACTCAAACAAGCATATTTAATAGTCATTTTTCCTTATCTCTTATATTTTTGTCCATTTAATTCCTTCTTACCTTAATAGACATAAGTGATAGATATAGAAGTAAAATAGTGATAAGTATTTTTGTAGGAACGTTTCCAGTAATTCTGAAATTTAACACAGTTTTTACCGAAAAAGTAAAAAAAAACGAAACTTATATTTTGATAACATGTTTATCATCTGTTTCTATTATTTTCAGTAGTATTCTGCAAATATAACGCCAATAATAGATTTATTTGTACTATTTTCTAAAATTTGGGTGTCAACGTAGGAGGATATCTTAAGGAGGAAGAATTTTGACTATTGATAAGCCACACCTTCTTTCATACTAATATTGTTTTAACTGGGATTGTGAACGTCACACGTCACAAACAGTTCGGTTCACGAACAAGTTGAACAAAAACACCTTGAAAAACAACAGTGCGTCGAGTTACGAACACTCAAGTTGGTAACATAAGATTTTCAAAGCTATTTGGAAGTAATCTGGGCCATAAAATTAACAAACGATACTTCTGGAAGCATCATTTTAATATTTTGCAATGTTTATTAACAAAGCTTGTCAACAAGGAATTCACAGGATCACGAATACTGGCTGGAAGAAATTATGGCTAGATTAGTTTGCAAGCAGAGACTTTGCAAGCAGAGACCAACCTTTCTAAGATATACATGAATTTACATATTGGAGCGGTTTGAAATTTGGCATCACTTTTTTCGGGCGATAATAATGCCAAACTATAATAAGCACTTTGTTAAAATTATTTGAAAGCATAAGAATGACTTTGATACTTTGATACTTTTGATATGCCTGTTTCAGCAGGAATTATATCCCGCTATTACAGGCACCTCAAATAACCCCGGACATAGCATACAGTGCTTCGCAGAAATACCTTAATAAGGGACTATCGAAATCGAAATCGAAATCGAGTTAATGGCTAGGTGGCAATTAGTAGCCAACCGCTACTTTAACCGTCTCTGTTAGTAAATTGCCCTAAGGCGTTGGTACTTAAGTTTTTTTAATTAAGGCGATTTACGCCGCGCCAACTAGGCGAAACTTGTCAAAATTTTGTGAAATGTAGGTGGAGTGGAGAGAGATGATTGGCAGGAGCCTGTCACGTGGGTGGTCACCAGCTTACGCGTACAATGAGAAATATTGGAAATATTAATAATTATCAAGTTTTGAAACAGAAATAATAATGAGACTATTTTTTCTCCACTCGTTTACAATGAAAAAAAGAAAAGGGGTTGCTATAAATTAAGAAGTTCGCCAAATAAATTATTGTTGCCGAAAACTGAAAAAAATACGCCAAAATAAATTTTTGAATTTCTCCGTAAATTTCGCACCGAATTTTACAAAATTTAACATTTAGGCATAGTTTGAGTCTTAGAATCGAAATATGGAAAAACAAATTGGTATGTAATATTCAGAAAAATTAGATTTTTGTGTTCAAAATACCTATGTTAGAATAAGTATTGATTGACTATATATAAATCTAATATATGTCCTAAGTCGCGCTTTCGAGACATGAAAAACGCAATTTGAATTTCGTCAATCGGCCCAGTAGAACAGGAGATATAGAACTGTTCTCCTTTTTTTTTTGCGCAGTGTACTTAACTAACTAGTATTAACAACCTTATTTAATTCCCCCAAACCTGGTTAATCTAATTAGTGAATGAACCGTAAATGTACGTAGAAACAATAACGCTTTCGTGTCTGCAATATTATGTACACAAAATTACGTTTTATTGTTAAAAATGTTTTTTATGCCCACTTTTAGATGTAACTGATTTAGTAGAAATCACTGTTGTTATATCTAGTTACTACCAATTATGTAATAGAGTAATGCATACGAGTGTTGTCTATTCAGTATCATATAATTTATCTTGCAGTGCATAGTGAAAGAAATGTTTGTTTATCTCATTTCCTACACTGTTAATACTAATTCTTTCATTTCTTGTGTGAGCATCGTGTGTTATAGAATAAACAACGCTGAAGTGTCTCCAGAAATAGTTGGCTTCGAAATTTGCAGGTAATTAGTAATAACAGGTAATTTATGCAGTCAAGCACTTAAAATTATCAGACATTACTGAGGAAAGTACTATACTCAAAAGTCTTATTTCTGAGATCTTAAAAGAATAGCAAATTTTAAGAGAAATTATGGTTTCTGAAGAAGCAGAATAAAATTTCAGTCAACCAGCTGAAAAGACTGATTGAGATGATGAATCAGATATATTTCAAAATGAAATAATGAGTCCCAGAGATTTGTCATGGGTTTATAAAAGACAGGAGATAAAATTCTAGAATGGCATAGATAAAAACTACGTTACTTGCAATGTGTTAAAAATAAATTTAGACAGAGAACGAATTAGAAGTACTTTTATATTGGAGAAAAGATCTTCTAACATTAAAAGAGTTTGAAAGAAGTAGAGGACTTCCTATTCACGTTTCATATGAGGAAAATCGCAATAATTTAACACAGAACCAGCCTATTCTCCAGAATTTGGACTCGAGTCGACTGACCAGTGTTTTGCAGATAGATCCATCGCTCGGCCGCTGGTGAGGTTATATTTCCAAAATTTGTTATTCGATTCAGTTTGTTAATTCCAGCTGAGGTAAAAGAAATTACTTATTTAAAAATTTTCCCATAAGACACTTCATTTATGCTGCTCTCATCCAGTGTAATAGTAAACGATACTAATTGTATTGCTGAATCCAGGTTTGAATCCCGGAGAAGGCATGGATGATATGTGAAAATGTATAGTGCCTGTACGGCATGGGAGCACTTAAAATACTAATGAACAGAAAATACTCTCAAGTCACTTGGTGGTACGGGGTGAGATCTTTGTATCCTGACGTGGTGAGAACCTGTACGATTAATAGTAAATTATTGCGTCCCGTCCACTTCTAGCTATGGCTTTATCGCAGCTGACCACCTGTTCGGTATAAGGTTAGCGATGCCGTATCGTTTGGCTCGAATTCGAACCTTGCCGTTTTAATAATTATGTTATCAACGCATTTCATGGAGAATTTATAAAAGCAATCTATTTTGTATATAGAATTTGCACCATATATAAGTTTGAGAAGTAATAATTATTTTGATAATTATAAATTTTTATTTCTGCTATAGATAGCACAAAATGATAAATAGCCAAGCTCTTTGCGAACATTTTATTCAGAAAAATGATTTTACAGGTATTTACAGATGCATATACTGTGAGTTTCATAGTAGAATACACTACAGTTTAGACAGAATACAATAGAATTCTGCCTGAGTATATGGAAATTCATAGGCAATTCAGGAAATTCGTAGGAATATATAAAAATATTTCAGGTGATTTCATAAAGTTCTATTTATAAATTATGATCTTTCTTCACAAATACATATAGTCACTACTATATGAATCTTCTGCTTCTACATTATGCAGCTGAAACACTGACATCCATTTCTCTGGAACTGTTAAAAATAAATTAGAGAAATCAGATTATGTTTCACATCTGATTAGAGTGACAGAAATTACTATGAAATTACTGTGAACTATCGATAAAGATAGTCTAAAGCATTTTATATTAAGAACATTTATATATTTTAAACGGATGATAGCAAACAATCTTAATTAAAAAATTTTTCGTACAATTCTAATCGGATATCAAATATATAATGTCATGTTATGAAATTATATAACTAGCAATGCATTTGTATAACGAACATCTGTCAACACAGATGATACAAATGCATTGCATAAACGGATGATATCAAACAATCTTAATTAAAAAATTGTTCTTACAATTCTAATTGCATATAAAATATATAATGTCATATTATGAAATCATATAAATAGCAATGTATTTGTATAACGAATATCTGTAAACACAGATGTTCATTATACAAATGCATTGCATCTAAATGAAAGGAAACAATATGTAAAGAATCATCGCGTTCCCTAGGGCATCGATTCCGAGATCACAGTCTCCAGGTGGTTAGTTACCCAAATGCCACGCCTATTGCAGCACGTGACTCAAGTGCAGAATATTGTCTTCTTATTCATAATCACAAGTTCGTCCAAGGAACCTTTCAGATTTACTTTTTTCCCTTACCGCTTTACGGATTTTTTTGATGATATGTAATGGCAACGTTAGAAAAATTGGTAAATATTCTTTTCCAAGCAAATAAATTGTAAAAAATTTGTAAATAAAATTATTATATGTGTATATATATAGCTCAATTTAGTTTTGAAAATTAAAGCAATACATAAATATGTTTAGATTTCTAAATTAACATTCTAATCTGTTAACAAATTTTAAGTTTACTCTTAAAATAAGTTTTAAAACGTGAAACTTGTATATGATAATTAAATACACCATAATTTACTATTAATAGAAGCATAATATAAAATAGCATTACAATAAATATTTAAAATGCGACTTACAGTAACCATTGGATTCAAATATCATGGTGAATCCCGGACGATCATTTGAAGGGCTTGACACAAACCTTACTATAATCTCATTATTTTGAGAGTTATGTTCAGCTGGCGTATCCTGTAAAAAAATTTGATTTCGTTTATAGTAGAAGCAAGTACTATTTAGTTAAAATTTTCCTTACTTGAAATATCGAAATACTAATATCACTTTATAGAATTGAAAATAATGTAGTAATTAATAAAATAAAAATTAAATAAATGTAATAATACTGTGCTAAGACAAATTTAAAAAGACTTTGTGCGACACGTATTGTGAATGAAATCCTGAAATTTATATTGTACCATTTTCAAGAAACAGAGGTTTTTAATATATTCGTGAATAATACATATTTTTCATACCATCAACAGAGCTATTTGAATTGTGAAGAACATTAAATGCCTTCTTCAGTCATTCAATTTCTGCAGTCTCTAGCACTAAGAATTAGCAATATTTAGATAGCATACCACACTTCCATCGCCTTGCAAACCGAGTTTATCTGAAATCGAAATCGAAATCGAGTCAATGGCTAGGCGGCAATTAGTAGCCAACCGCTACTTTAACCGTCTCTGTTGGTAAATTGCCCTAAGGCGTTGGTACTTAAGTTTTTAATTAAGGCGATTTACGCCGCGCCAACTAGGCGAAACTTGTCAAATTTTGTGAAATGTAGGTGGAGTAAGGGAGATGATTGGCAGGAGCCTGTCACGCGGGTGGTCACCAGCTTACGCGTACAATGAGAAATATTGGAAATATTAATAATTATCAAGTTTTGAAACAGGTTATCTAGATTGGAATAATTAAACTAATATCACGATCTAAATGAAGACAAATGGCACAACTAAGTGCAACAGATTAGAGTTTATCTGACTAAAATTTCCGGATTAAATCACACATGAAGTTCTTCGCTAAAACGTCATTCGTTATGATAAAAAAGTCTATATGAAATGAAATGTAGTTTGATAGTGTTTCACTTCATTCTTCAAAAAGACCTTATCATGTCATTTATAATTTCTTAAGAACACATTAGTTTCTAAAAGGATAAGCATCAAAATTTCTTTATCGTACGTTAATTGCCCTATTTGTGAGCTAGTAAAAACTTCCTGTTTTACTTTGGCATCAATCAGTAATAGAAACTTGGTCATTCAAATATGCAAACATTTTCTTTTCTTTGACAGAGGACTTCATGAATAGCTCTACCAATCCAATTTTAATCCTCAGAAGAAAGATTTAAAAAGCATGAGGATTCACGAATGATTTAAAGTTTACATTCATTTCTGCTGAAGTATGTAATTTAGGTTTTTTTTTAACTGATCGTTCTTTCATTTGCAGTGATATTTCTTGCCACTCGCACAAAAGGACCATTATGATAAAACACTGCGGTACATATTACGGTATAACATTGTGGTCACTTTGAAGGACCACTGCTTCTGAATTCAGTTTGATGAGCCGGCAAGCGTCCTCCACTCTTATTGGTTATGCGCGTGGCGAAAACATTACTGCAATGCGCTGCAATCCCACAGAAATAATAAAGGCTCAAATTTTCTTAACTGAAGTTGTTTTAACATCTTTTTTTTTTTTTTTTTTTTGTCTAGGTGATTCCATTGTTGAAACTTGGAAAGCTTTTAGCTCATCTGGTCAAATAGCCTCTGCGATAAACTAAAAGTTCATAACAAGAGTATCAGCCTTTGCTATTGTAGTTTGCTTTTTTTTACCCCCAAATAGTTTCGATTATTAGATATTGCTTTGTTTGTGTTTGCCGTTCAGTAACTCCACACTTTCTTCATCATTTGTTGAACCATCTTTTACCTTTGGAATGAGATATCTATCATGAAGAGCTAATAATTTTGCTCAGTTGAAATTCGGGTACTCTGTGGTATGCTTCGATTTTGTAAAGACATCATTTTTTTATCAAACTTAAATATCAATTAGTATTGTGATATTGTTCAGGCTTCATTACAAGAATTGCCAACGGTATTGATGATCGCAAAATCTGAAGCCAGTTCAGGAAATTGTTTGCAAACATGAGGATTTAGATCTCATCCTGATATCCAGCTTTTCAGTCAAATAACAAATTATGGGGCCTTTTTGAAAACAAGTGTATATCACTGCATTTTTATTGCTGATTCTCAATGTGCATATCAGAATGCATATGAATCATTTACACTCTCCAGACAAAATGATTCTTATGTAGGGAAAAAGGAAAAAAAAAATTGATTTGGACATGAATTAACGAGACATGAGTGTACTGCGTTAACCACAAGGTCGATTATTATCGGCCAGGAGGGTTGCTGTACACTCGCGTATTTACAACACATTAAGTTTGTGAAGTGTATAGGATATTCTATTATTCATGAGAATATTTTAGAATATAGAATCATTAATATCTATTACTTATGAGATTTTGAGAGCTCATTCCTCCACTTCATGAAGGCTGCTAGATACAGTCATAGACATGGTACGCTGAAATGAAGTATAAGAAACTGGTACTCGCAACCATGCAGACTTTAACAATTAAAGTCTTCGACATTTTCAAAAGCTCTGGATGAATATTTAAATGGCATGCTTCAGAACCTTCCGCTTAAGCTGCGTATTCACTTGAAAACTATTGATTCTATATTTTAAAATTCCAGAATCCTTGACAGATGTTCAAAAGACGTGGACGTGCTGAAGATATATGACACTTTCTATAGAAAGTGTCATATATCTTCCAAATTACTATAGTAATTTATAGCCAAATTACTATACCATACAAATAGCCAAATTACTATAGTAATTTGGCAAAAGGCCGTAGACATATCAGGTGATCTTATTGAGGGAATGTTGGTGTTTTTGTCTACGCTAACAAAGTCTCTTCAAAACTATCAACGTGTTGCCACTGCTTTTTATCCAACTGTCGCACAAAGTGTGGATGGGGAAGGAGAGGATTACTTCGTTATTCAAAAAGATCTGTGTCAAAAAAAAAAAAAAAAAAAAAAAAAAAAAAAAAAAAAAAAAAAGGTTGTAGCACTGACGGCAACCACGAGAAAATATTGGTGATTACCAATAAAACAGCAAAAAATATGCTTTTTTTCTTTCTAACTAACACTTCAGATGAGCATGAATAGAGGTCTGAGTTTGTAGAGACATTAGGTATTTTTGGAAGCAGGCAAGATGAAAAATTAGGAAACACCTTCGCCGGGAATCGAACTGCGGACCTCTGGAATACGCGCCCAACGTGCAGACCACCACACCACGAAGGCATGCCAAGAAGGCGGTACAAATACCTTATATACTCCCCCCATTTAAAGGGCGACTGGGGTTTTTAAAAGACCCATTCGCCAAATCCTGGGTGTGGAGAATCATCATCCAACACTCTTTTTAGTCCGGAAGCCACTGTAGAGCTATTAGATAATTTGGAAACCGGAAAATTGAAAAATGAGTAATGCATTCGCCGGGAATCGAACCGCGGACCTCTGGAATATGCAACCAGCGTGCAGACTGCCACACTACAAAGGCATGCCAAGAATGCGGAAGAAATCCCTTATAAGTTAAAATGTTTAGCAAATTTTTAAGGTTAGGATTTGAATGATGAAAAAAAAGAGATCTTTTTCAAGATTTATGAGATTTGTGGCTACGAATGTCGTATCCATGACATAAGAAAAGCTTTGATATTTAAGTAAACTATAAATTATCCCAATTTAAGATTATTAGTTAGAGAATTAGTTCCCAGTGATTATTTTAGTCCATTTGCTGGACATCTGTTGCATAAAGAGCGTTATGACAAGCATAACGATCTGATAATTAATTTAATATGGAGAAACACATCAAGACTATCTGTCTTTTAATGTGAAATGGTTACTAACAATATATATAGAAAAATAAAGAAAGATCTCACATTCTCTTTTCTTGCTATAACTTATCACCCTGATTTGCATCAGATACACAAAATCATCATGGCTCAAGGAAAATCTTAGCACTTATTGTTAGCCAATATCTTGAGCAAATTATTTCTGGTAGTGCATTTGATGAACAAACTCGTAATTTTAATCGAGAAAATTCCGAAAAAATCGAGAAAATTCCGAGGCGGAATCCAACGATTTTTTCTCATCACCAACCCTTTTGAGAGGACTTTCGGTTGACGAGTTTTAGGTGCTCCCATGCTGCAAATACATAATACATTTCCGAATCCATACTTTGTCGAAGGCTCAAACGGGGCGCTAGCATTATGGCAACTGGCTTTCCTAACCGCCATACTGATCTGGGCACTTGAGACACTCTCAGTAAGATAGTGCATCGAAAAGAGACTTTTGGAATCACTATACATGTCTATTTTTTGCAGTTCTAGCTACTCAATATACATTTTATGAGTTTGCAAGTCAATAAAATTATGATGCTATTTCAACACAAATTTCTCAGTTGTACTTCATCTCTGGTAATGTGGTCTGTCTTATTATTTCACAATCATTTACCTAGTCTTATCCAGAAAGTGATAGAAATAAAATGTATTTTATTGTTCTTGCTACTTACTGTTCCGCAGTATCTGACAATCCTCTTCGCAATGTCGACAGTGTGGCCATCGTAAATCTCCACATAATTCGTGTCGCAGCCGTCGGTGGAATTGAGAGCGAAAGACGTGAATTGAATCCGTGCAGTATGATACCCTGGGACAGAAATGTACCAGATACAGTCTGCAGTCCTATTGTACGGTTGTGGAAACAGTGGACTGGATAGAGCCCCTTTCTCAGCATACAGTCGCCCGCCACATCCTCTTCCTGTAATGTAAGAAAATAATTTAAAACACCTCCCCTTTTTTTTAGCCTTTTGGCGAAATAATCGTTGCCTTTCTTAAGTTTGTAAATTAAGCCAACTAATTAGAGCAAAAGGGCTTTGTATCGGATTACTATAAATGTGTCGTTTCACTTTTCATTCGAGTCTGCTACAGTTTCACAAACTGTAAGATATTTATGTTTCAAATTGAATTTATCTGCTGTGTAATTACAAACGAAGCTATCTGAACGCAAAAGATGCAGTGCTTAAGAATATGCGCATTTTTTTAACTGAAATGGTTTCAATAATAAAAATACATTTAATTCATGAGTTATCTAATTAAAAATATTCAATATGTTCTTAATGATGTTTAGTTTACAAGTATGCTGCAACCCTCCTGGCCGATAATAATCGGCCTCATGGTTAACACAGCACACCTGATGCAGACAAACAATCTTAATGATTAAGACACAATAACACGCCGAATAAATACTAATTCAGATGTCAAACAACAAAAATCAGCGTTATATTTTCAAAATTTTTGCAGGACTAGTTTCGATGGTTTTACCGAAATTATGTTTTAGTTCTTTAAAGAAATTATGTTTTAGTTCTGGTTTCATCAACAGATGGCGCCACTTGCTTATTCCTGTCCAGGCTTTCTTATCTTATCTAGTCATTATTTCCTATCTTGTTCATTGGCGGTTTTGCAGCTGAGGATGGTTGTTCGGTAAAACCATCGAAACTAGTCCAGCAAAAATTTTGAAAATATAACGTTGATTTTTGTTGTTTGACTTCTGAATTAATCTTAATGATGTTATATTTTTTAATATTTGTTTGATATTTTATAAAATTTTAACGAGTTTTTGATTAACAAACTCGACGATTTGAAAGTGAGCAGTGACATTTTTATCTCCAGCACGCGAGACTCTCTATGGGAAATTCTAAAGATATGCTGTTTTTAAATATTTTGTGACTTTGCTGTTGAATTGAAGTTTATGTTATTTAAATGTGAAGATCGTGATAATCTCTTAAATAAAGTTAACAAACAAAACGTTAATAATAAAAAGATGAAAAAAAGTTTTGTAAGCCATCTTATTAAGAAACTGAACATTGCTATGATAAACTGAGAAAAGCCTGAAAAAAAAATAAAAAACGTATATGCCAATGCATAATTTTATATGCCTATGCATAAAAGTGAATGGGAAATTCCAAACATACTCTACTATGCTGCTTTTAAAGTTGTTGTGATTGTGCTGTCGAATTTTATATGGCGTAAGTGCGAAACAAACGACGCCTAATAATAAAGCTAAAAAGACGAAAAAAATTTAGGTAGCAGGTGTGGATGAAACTGCAGACCGGTAGACTACGAGCTCAGCGAGAGCATAAAATACCTTAAATAAGTCACATGAAGTCAATATGTCAACCACAGCCATGACATTAATTAATATCGAACTAAATCGATGCATTTAGAATCTGTGACTTTGGTCTTTTGTATTTTTCGTTTATATTTGTCAAATTAAAAATAATGATAACCCAGAAAATAATGAAATGTAAATCTAATAAACCATTTTTTTGAAACTTTTCATTCATATTCTTACTGTAATTATCTTGAAGTTATTTATGTGCAATTATTTGTGCTATTATGTTGTGTGCTGTATATTTTAGAAAAAATATAAGCAGGTCGATAAAAATAGCCATTCTTTTAAAAGGGGATTATGTAAGAAAAGGGCTGGGGAATTCCTGTAAAAATGAAAGGAAATTATACCATTTTGATTTGCATGAGCACAAGCGGATAAATGTATTGTTGCGTGCATACGGGTTTATAATAGAAAATTGAATACATTCAGAACTGAGGATAACTTGATAAAATGTATTTTACCCAAAGTAACACTTTACAGACCTTTCCACAAAAATACTCGTGCAACTCTTCTCAGTATCACAAAGAACAATCAGTAATTGCATTTCAAACTACCAAGAGCGTTAAACACAACGCAATGCAAAGCGAATCTCGTAAAAGGCGAAGCTCTCTCCGATATCTCAATACTCCGACTTCAGACCCTAACTAACACCTGAGAGTAGATGTTATCTCCAATCTTATATAGTTTTTACCCGGCCGCCGAGAAATCTCTTGGTTCTCGAAACCAATGGAAGGCATGTGAGAGGCGGATACAGTTACAGTTGCACAAGTAGATTAATTACAGTTATTCAATTACAATACCTATTACGGTGATACAGGAACCAGACAAAAATGTCGCCACATGGTAGCCAAGTTTGGCATTTTTTGGCGATTTCTCGCCAAACTGGCGAGATAGCTATTTACTCAATGTTAAATAGACTTGATCCGGTATTCTTGTTTTTCTGGCCGAGCAACGTCTCTTTAGATTTCCATGTTATATTTATACAGGAAAAAAATTCCATATAATTTCATTAAAGCTATTTACTGAGATTGAAAATTCGTATCAGTATATTGTTTGGCAATGATATTATCTCTGGCATAATATCATGCAAAGAGAAATGTTGAAAATAATTTATATACCACAATACAGGGAGATTCTAATCAAAACTGCATTTTGAAAAGGCTGTATAAAAAGAGCCACTAGTCAGAAGGACTTGAAATTTGACCTGAATAGAAATGAAGCAATAAGGCCCGGTGGTGCAGCCGCACCACAGGTCCAGACTGGGGTTCAACCCCCGAACCCCAGTCTGGACAAGGTCGACTAAGCCTTTCATCGCTTGATTTCCATCCCTTGGATCGATAAAATGAGTACCATGTTCGCTTGGGGACTAAACACTGGGATCTCAAACTACAATTGAATTTTAGAGATTAAGAGTAGATAATCAGAATAACAGAGCATCTGTAGGAGAACAAAGATGATTCAGGGAAATGGGTTATTTTCGAGAGGCAAAAATTAATCTTTTCAGTTGAATCATCATATATGTTTTCTCTTGGTAGAATAACATCTAGGATGTTTTCTAAAGTGATCTTCGTAACATTTTTATCATTATTTCCCGTATTAGTGACTGTAAGTTGCGTTGGGTGGAAGATTTTGTTGGTTTCAATTTTGTACAATGAGCCATACGTATCCTGGTTGTTTGAACAATAGTTGCACCATGCTTAAAGCTTTGCAGACATTATTTGCTTTTTATATGAGGCTTTTCGTTTTTTGTATTTTTGAAGTAGGTTGAGTCGTTCTTCATCAGTTTGCGATGATTTCAGTTTTCTTCGTAATGCTCGTGTTTTGTGTTTGACTTAGCGGAGTTCTTTCGTCACCAGTTGATTTTTATAATGGGTATTGATGATCTTTTGAAGAAGGTACGTTCGTAGGTATCTTGAAACTTTCTGATAAGTTCCTTGGTAATATTATTAAGTTCTGTTTTGGTTGTACACAGAATAATAGCATTTAGAAAGTCATTTGAAATTGGATTGAACTTTTGTTGAAATTTCTTTTCTTTGTTATTATTGATTTTAAATCTGGTAAGTGCAGTAAAGGACGTATATTCAGTTATATCAAAAGAGATATATTTGTTATAAGATTCGGTATGTTCATCTAGTATTGATCTGTTGTTAATTTTATTATCAAGATGTGTTGTAGAAATAAGAAGATCAGTCCAATCTTTATTGTAGGTATTATCAAAGGTAGGTCGGTCAGTAAAATGATTATGTAGAATGAGATTGTTTGCATTTAAAAATTCTTCAAGTATTTCTCCTCTGTGATCGGTTTGTAAGTATCCCCATTAAGTACTATGCGAGTTAAAGTCTCCACTAAAACATGCGGACTATTATTATTGTTGTAAGATTTCATTTAGTATGGATAAGGTTTGATTTGGATTTTTGACGGAGATATATAGATACTAGTAATAAGAAGCTGAGATGCATTAGTATTGATTGAAATTGTGATTATATCTCGAGTATTAATAATTATTGTAGAATTCCATTTATTGTTTGGAATGAATATGGCTGTACGAGGAGATAAAACACCCGTTGAAGCATGACGTTGAATAATTGCCCAGTTATTTGGACTTCTTCCTAATTTGCCAGTGATGCAATAATGTTCTTGTTTATAATAAAATCTGCCAGATAATCTACTTGATACTGACATAGTTGGTCGGTGGCGGTCTTTGCTCTTTGAAGATTTATTTTGAGAAAGCGGATGCCATTGTTATTCTTTTTTATTGATGGAAAGGGTCTATAGATAGTCTGCAGGATCTTGCATTATTGTTGATAATATGTATTGGATTTTACTCGTCTAACTTCTGTTTGATATGTGGACCAGGAAATAGCTAAAGCTGGATGTTTACAGTCAAATTTTGTTTCATACTTTTCATTGTTAATCCAACAGTTTATGCAGTACGGAGTTTGGGAATAACAGCAAGAAACATGATATTTCCGCCGTAGAATGAGCATTTTGGTTGGTTTGTCTTATGAGAGAAATCCTGACAGACTTGACATCTGCGTACACCGATAAACTCGGTTATTTTATTGGTGCGCCATCCAATATATATTTGTTTTTTACTCATAAAATTTTGGAAAGTTTGACCGTGACATTTTATGATCCATTTATCAGTATTATTTTGATCAATTCAGTTTAAATAAAGGTCCTTAGGTGGGAAATATTTGATTATGTTTTTTTCTTGGGCTATAATTTGAATCAGTTCATCAGAGTTGAAATTTTTTGGAATATTATGAATTGTGCATTTTGGTATTCTGGCTTCCGGAAGTTTTACGTTAACTATATCTTTTGCAACTGTTTTGGCAATGAGGTTATAGCTGATTTTTTTCTATACCTTCTGGGTTATGACAGTGTATTGCAAGCTTCCTTGAAGAAGGTGTTATTTTTTTGTTTAATTTTTGCATTTTGATTATTTTGTTTTTTTGGATTTCCAACGTTTTCTTTCTTTTTTTGTTTTTTTTTGGGTTTTTTTCTCGTTCGGGTTTTTCCATATTTGGATAAAGTTCTTCTCTATTCACTTGAAGACAGTTGTTTGATTCTACTAGTTTATAAATGAAATTTGGTTGACATCCTATATTGTCAATAAATGGATTAAATGATCTTCTTTTTTCATGAAGAGAGGAGTAATTGTGTACTTGATTATCCTGTCTTTTCCTTGGACGTATATTGGCAGAATTCTCAATTCTGTCTGGGATTGGTGTTTCAATCATATTTTTCCATGCTATTATGGATTCAAAACTTGGCTGGAAGGTTGGAGTGCTTATTGGATATGTTGATTCATCATTTAACGTTACTGATGTTGGTTCAGTTGCAAGATTGAGTGATGTTGGCCCCGTTGGTCTAGTTGAGGTGTTATCCAGTGCACAATCTTTGAGGAAGTCAACAATGGATTTAATTTTGTTTCAAAGTTCTTTAGAAAGATATATCTCTTATGTTCGCTATCGCTTTTTAAAAGAGAGAGGCAATTACCGCAAGCATTTTGAATTTTCATTAGTCTTTCATCATTCAAATCTAATACAGTTGGATTATCATTTTGGTCTGCAGATATTGTAGATAATGCAGATGATGATAGCGGATATACACTTGGATTAGTATGAGAATAAATAGTGGAGTCGGAATTATTTAGTGATGAGTTGCTTGATGATGTAGATATGTTGTGTTGAACGAGTAGTTATCAAATAAGTCTTAATAGTAAATTGTAAAGTTAAAATTATAAAAGAAATATATTAGTATTATAAAAATAGTTCAGTAACTTGATAATTTAGTAAAAAATAAAGATAATATATTAGGTATAATGCATCTTTGCCTTTGTATATTACACTTTATAACCGTAGTAAATTAAAAAAGATTATCGATATTAATGCAATTATTTTGTTTATGTCTAAAATAATCTAAGGTAAAAAGTAATTAGTTGTTAAGTTCCGTTTTAGGTCAATGTTTTACAGAACATAAAAAATTTGTTTTAGCATGTGCTTTTCCAAAATCTCATATTTGAGTTTGAAACAATGGCTTTCTATTTATATTAAATAAGAAAATTGAAAAAAAAAATCAATATTTTGAATAATATTTTACACAAAATAAAACTTTTTTACATAAAACCTATATGAATATAAAGATCAAATTCAGCTGTATCAGCCTATATAAAAATTTTTACATTTTAATATAAAGATAGGCAGAAAATATTGATATAAAGCTTTGAAGATAGTCGTTTATATGCTATTTAATGGATAAATACTGTTATAATTGTTGAAGTTATAAAACTTACAAATTCGTGGATTTTCTAATTTAAATAACTTTTGACTGCCTTGATGTACACTTTCAAAACTTGCATCATTTTGTTCCATTCATGGCGGGCTTCACATTGATATAAAACTTATAGAATACCCTTTCTTACGCAACTTGGTTCAAACACTAACGAGCTTCCCCTCAAAAAGACACGTTCACCTTTGAGAGCTAATAGTCCACTAGCTGTCCACTTGGCAAGCTGACCACTTGTTCAGGGCATATGCTCACGCACCCCAGGGCCCACGGTCAAGAAAGCAGGTTTCGGGGCACTGCAGGCTTTGGCCCACTAGGGCTGTTGCGCCACTGAGTTTAGTTTTATAAATGTAGCAATAGGTCAGTTCGAAATTTTATAAATAGATGGCCGTCTACTTGTCATATTATGCTAATTAAAGGACGTGACATACGAACCAGATATTTAGCTTAATAAAAACGCGTTGTATACATATGCATTCTCCTTATGCTACGTTAAAGAAGCTTGTGATGACTCTGTCAATGAAGGTGCGGGCGCTGCTTGTGAAGCATTTTAATAAGAACAGTGATTATCATTTCTATCATGCTGATCAGTGGTTCCTTTTTTACAGTCTTTTGGAACTTTAATTATAATCACCCTGTAGTTTAAGCTTTGTTACAACTATATCACCTTATGTTGTAAATGATTGAAATACAAAATTTTATTTATTTCCTCACATTTCGATTGTTCTGTGTTTATGTTATATATATTAAAAAACTTTATATTAACCTGTGACTCAACCAATCAAGCGCTGAATAAGAAAACACGAAATTCTGTAAATACCAAGATATTTACAAAATTTCGTGCCTGATTGGTTACAAAAGAGCAGTTTATGATTAGAAGTGGTTTTGGAGTCTGTTCCAGTAGAAAGGGTGAAAAAGTAGTTTTGTTATAGCTTACAAATTTGCATAGTAATTTTAGTTAAATATTTTTTGCGATTTAATGAACAAGATTTCTAAATTCACTAAAAACTTCACACTAATTTCTCACTGATAACACTTACCTTGATCTGTTGTGGTATAAGTAGCGTAATAAGCTCCCAAACTATATTTTATAGAAAACACCAGATGAAGGAAGTTCCCTGTCGAAAATGCAGGAGGAGGTGTTTCATAACCACATAAAGTACTTAATAATCGCGCTGAAGTATTTTGGCCATCATAGATCTGAAAGATAGAAAGAGCGCAGGAATAAATTGTCGGCGCATTGATAGCAATTCAGGTTTTGACAACAAAGAATCATTTCACATGATGATAAGAGAATATCGATTAAATATCTTTTTAATGTTAGTGGTAGAATATTTCAAAGAATAAAATTATAACTTGTAACAGCTATATGCGTAATGTAGATCATCACATCAAATCGAGTTTAATTTGAGTTACATTTAAAATGTTCCAGAAAAATTCCAACAGAGTTACGTGGAATATTTGGAAGTTTAAAACAAATACCGCTGAAATAAATTCGATGAACTGCTTCGTACAGGGTATGTGTAGTTTCTAAAATGTAGTTGAAATTTTCTTCAAAATTTCGGCCCGGCAAATGCAAGGGTACTATGTTGCAGTCGCGTACCTCCTGTGTCCCACATGTTGTCCAGTGCGTAAGCGTGCAAGTTACTTGTGGTTGACACCAAAAACAGCATAGTTGCAGTTTTGGATTATGAACTGTCTGGCAGGTTACATATGTTGTTTGAATGGCGTTGAAGTTTGTGAATACGAGGAGTGAGCTCTTGTGTAATGATTAAAAACGCGTTGTGTACGATTGGCGGATGTAAACCCTCATGATAGGTGGGTTTTAAGTCTGCAGATGACAAAACAACTCGGAGTACGAGACATAAACGCCCTTCAGTAGGCCAACTAGAAATGAAGTCGCATATCTCCTGAACAGCCCCCGGAGTCTTATATGCTTGTTTAATCTAACCTGACAAGCTGGGCCCGGGGGCATAAAATATACGAACCAACAACGTACAAGGAAGTCATGTGTTACACACATCAAATTTAAAAGTTTTAAGTTGCTCTATATTTCGTTCTTTGAATGCGGCAAATATACAACATATTATGTGCTTAAGTAGAGTATGGTACAGTCAAAAGTCTTTAATCTGGACTCGTCGAGACTTCGGCGATTCCGGATTATCGGTTTTTCCAGATTCTACATCATCAATTTAAATCTGGTAAGATGGCATGCAGAAATTATAAAATTAAAAATATGAAACCGTAATTTATGAAATAAGGAGCAATTATGATCTAAAGGGTATCAAAATTTACAAAAAAAAAAAAAAAAAAAAAAAAAAAAAAAAAAGCTTAATGCTTATTTGTTTACTTTATTAAACATTTCTTTCAACGCGCGCATGTGTAAAGCATACATTACGCATAATCGAAATTAGAAAATTGCAACCACAAACTATTTGATGTGTATTCGTGATATTTACAATGACGAGGAATTTCATTTAAATCATATCAAAGACGGAGTACATCGAGATGAAATACTACATTTAGTAAGGAATTATAAGCCGAATGAAATAAAAACATCTGCCCTGAAGATAAGGATAATGCTGACAGATCAACTTCCAGTTCATTGCGCACCGCGACGTTACCCCCTCCCCCCACCGCAGAGCAGCGTAAAATTGGTAAACAGATTTCGGAATGGTTAGAGAAACAAAGGATATGCCTTTATCCATTTTTTGCAGCAATTCCACTTTTTGTTTGATGGACATCGAAATATGCTTTCGCTTTGTAGATCCTTTGGCAGCTCTAGAATCGGAAATTCTTTTTGACATAATCGAAAGTTCAAGCTTACTTTTATAAAATTGTTCTAACATTCTGCAAAAAATAATAAGCCGGATCCAATTAGAAGATTAAGGAACAACGCAATCTGCAACATTAACTGAAATAGATAATTAGATAATTTTTGCTGAGCTTATACCGTCCGTTACACATTAAACGCGTGTGCGTAAACGTATCATGCGCATGCGTAAACGCATTATGCGGTTAGGTCGTGCGCAGAATGTGTTTGTAGCTTTGAGGTCCGGATTATAGATCATTCCGGATTATGGACGTCCGGATTAAAGACTTTTGACGGTATTAGGAAATGGCTCGTATTAACGTTAAACTTAAGGAAAACTACAGAACACCCACTGAGGGACTAAAATCGATCGGATAGAAATTCGTATGTCGAACTACGAGATTTCAGCCGTCTTATTTACATTGCAAGCATACATAAAAATTTGAATAATGCAATCTTTAGTACGGTGAAAAATTGGAATCTGCACTATATAGTAGGTATTTTGATTTTGAGTATTTATTGAAACGTTTTACTGTTTTGCGACTCTCTGCAAACGCAAAGACACACAAGTAATTTTTTAAGATGTGAATGCGAATCTAAAGGAAAAGCGTGGTCAGATTTTAATCACGTAATCAATAGGGAAACTGGGCTTGGTGACACATTAGGATATCTTTAAGAATTCCTTATCGACCTTTAGGACATCCTTATCCGTTTGGATATCGAGAACACGGCCATGAAAACCAGAATTCTCGGAATTTTAATAAAATCTCATTATAAAATTAAAGTCATTTCCATTTCTGTTGAGCACGTCAGAAAAATGTAAGAATTTTTTAGTTCTTTTTTTGACCTTTTCCCGTCTCGTCAAAAGTCTTATTTTCTATCTAAAGCGCTTTCGCGACATATCAGATCAGAGTTACTTTAAGGAATATCTGATCTGATATGTCGCGAAAGCTCTGAGTGCTCTGAAATTTGCAAATCTGCAAAAAAACATTTAAGAATGTTCTAGAAAGGCTAATATAAATACAATATTTGGGAAAAGGAATCGGACTCGCATAATACAAATATATATATAAGCACTCATTTCTCACTCTGAGAGAGTGGGTTTTAATTCGGAACAATTTTTTATTCTCATACAATCTAATTCCTTACTTTTAGGTACTCTTCAGCACAATTTTCTGAAAGATCTATCGATATGTCTAGGAAGTACAGAGAAATGGTTTTCCCTGCTGTGGCATTGATGGTCATTGCACAGTAGCTTTCCGTGTTGTACTGATAAGGATAATCCGAATTCGATAAAACACCATTGTCTTTCATGAAAGTTCTGTTGCAATCTATAATATACAGGAAGGAAAGTAATTAAATAGTGTTGGTACTTAATTTGGCATACATGATTATTCAGTACTAAAATGTACAGATTTTGTGAAAAAAAATGGTAGAGACAAATGTTAAAATAGAGACAAACACAGAGCTTGTTCGCACATTTTTTTTAGATGATTTTGCTTTTCTATAAAACAAATCTTCTGCTTAGAAATTTTGTTTCAACTGCAACTACTTTTTTTGAAAATACAAATTATCGTATGCTACTTGATAATTTTGTTTTCATGCAAAATGGCGCTTTTAAATAAACAATAGATGGAAGGCTATGTTTGCGCTCTTTCCGAAGAAAATTATTCGTTTCTAGCTATAAACACAGAGTAAAAATTCTTTTTTTAGTTTGGAGGCAGATGTCAAAAACTTTGTGAAAGCCATAGTTTCCATATCTAAAGTTACGATAGTTAATATTATAAGCAAGAAAAGGAGAAAAAACATCAAAGTCTATCTTTTCCACTTGAATTCAGGAGAAAAACCATCCAGTTACGATAGTTAATATTATAAGCAAGAAAGGGAGAAAAAACATCAAAGTCGAAAAACCTTTTCACTTGAATTCAGGAGAAAAACGGAATGTTTCAAATGTTGCAAAAGAAAGACATTTAATGAAAAATATCCTTCACATAACAGACGAAAATCATTAAAATGCTTAGTGTCAACTGTAAATAAAGGGATTAATGTGAAAAAATATAATGTGCACCGTCCTTTCTCCACGGCATATCGCTGACGCAGAACACACTGCAGGAGTCTTTCTGAGAAACATTTATCAGGACAAAAATGGAAAAATGTTGTCACAATAGATGAATCATGGGTATATTTAAACGAAAGCAATAAAAAGAGATCTATGTATTATCATCAATGAAAAGAAAAAACTGAAAACATAGATCAAAGAATCCAAAGAATGTATTTCAAAGGAATTTATGACTGCGCTGGCTTCATATAACGACAAATTAAAAATAAAGAGAGTGGAGAAAATGTAAAGATCAAATCCACATATTATCAGGAAGATATTTTATTTTCATTTTTCAGGTATGAAATGCCTTATCTTTACCCACAGCGCCATCAATCAGTAAAACTGCATTAAGACAAAGCAAGCAGCCACACGTTAAAATCCACTGTTAATTTCTTGGAAGAAAGAAGAAACCAGTATCATATCCTTCACTCAGATTCTTACTAAATCTCTTGATGTCTCACTCATGGATCTTTGACCTTTGGGAGTTTTAAAAAATGGATTGTTCAAAAGTCGATTTACAACCGTTCTTATACCTTAGAAAACTAGTGAAAAATACTGTTTATCAAATACAACATTTAAAACACATACAAATTTAGGTCAAATATTTCTATAAATACAATGAAAATAATTTAAATATGGGCAAATATCCTCTATTCAAGGAAAGAGTGTCTTTTAAGAAGAATCTGGTTTTAGCTATAACAGCGAAGTGAGAACGTGCTCTTACGTCGACTAGTTAAAAATTTGGTATAAGCCAAGGAGAATCATATACGGTTTATCAAGAACAACATTTAAAACACATAACCTTTAGGTAAAATATTTCTGTAAATACAATGAAAATAATTTAAATATGTGCAAATATCCTCTCTATTGAAGGAAAGAGTGTCATTTAAGAAGAATCTGGTTTTAGCTATAACAACGAAGTGAGAACGAGCTCTTACGTCGACTAGTTAAAAATTTGGTATAAGCAAAGGAGAATGATATACGGTTTATCAAGAACAACATTTAAAACACATAACTTTTAGGTAAAATATTTCTGTAAATACAATGAAAATAATTTAAATCTGTACAAATATCCTCTCTATTGAAGGAAAGAGTGTCATTTAAGAAGAATCTGGTTTTAGCTATAACAGCGAAGTGAGAACGTGCTCTTACGTCGACTAGTTAAAAATTTGGTATAAGCAAAGGAGAATCATATACGGTTTATCAAGAACAACATTTAAAACACATAAATTTTAGGTAAAATATTTCTGTAAATACAATGAAAATAATTTAGATATGTGCAAACATCCTCTGTATTCAAGGAAAGAGTGTCATTTAAGAAGAATCTGGTTTTAGCAATAACAACGAAGTGAGAACGTGCTCTTACGTCGACTAGTTAAAAATTTGGTATAAGCAAAGGAGAATCATATACGGTTTATCAAGAACAACATTTAAAACACATAAATTTTAGGTAAAATATTTTGTAAATACAATGAAAATAATTTAGATATGTGCAAACATCCTCTGTATTCAAGGAAAGAGTGTCATTTAAGAAGAATCTGGTTTTAGCAATAACAACGAAGTGAGAACGTGCTGTTACGTCGACTAGTTAAAAATTTGGTATAAGCAAAGGAGAATCATATACGGTTTATCAAGAACAACATTTAAAACACATAAATTTTAGGTAAAATATATCTGTAAATACAATGAAAATAATTTAAATATGTGCAAATATCCTCTGTATTCAAGGAAAGTGTGTCATTTTAGAAGAATCTGGTTTTAGCTATAACAACGAAAGTGAGAACGTGCTCTTACGTCGACTAGTTAAAAATTTAGTATAAGCAAAGGAGAATCATATAAATATGTGCAAATATTCTCTGTATTCAAGGAAAGAGTGTCATTTAAGAAGAATCTGGTTTTACCTATAACAACGAAAGTGAGAACGTCCTCTTACGTCAACTAGTTAAAAATTTAGTATAAGCAAATGAGAATCATATAAATATTATGAGAGTTGGAACATTAATGGGGACAACGATTTATTTACAACTGACACAAAAGTGATTTTTTTGTGAAGCATCTTTTGGCTTTTGATGCAGTCATTAGCGTTAATTGCAGCCTTAAAAAATATTGCTGTTTAGCAGCAAACACACACACAAAAATCATTAATAATACTGCCTGCCTTCGTTTTTAATTCTTTATAGATCTTCAAATATCCGGAACCACCCATAACAGTGTCTATGCAACAATACAACTGGATCTCAGATTTAATTCTTTAAATGCAATAAAACTTCAAATACTTCGACGAACTGATTATTGCCTATCGGAATCTCTTTACATACAGAGCTCATCAGCACAGCGGTTACAAACTTTCAAGAGAGATTTGTTATTATTTCTTGGTTTCTGCATTATAAACATGTTTCAACCTGTTCGTGTCTAACGACTATGTATTGCTATGTGATTTTCCATCGTCTAGGTGTATTCTCTCTCCTGAAAGTTTATAACCGCTCTGTTGAAACACACTGTATAGTGGAACACCAAATAAACTGACCCATTGAGCTACAAATTAATTATGATATTTAATTCTTTACGTGCGATAGAATTTCAGAAGTCTATGTACTGCTATGTGATTTTCCATCGTCTAGGTGTATTCTCTCTCCTGAAAGTTTATAACCGCTCTGTTGAAACACCCTGTATAATGGAACACCAAATAACCTGACCAATTGAGCTACAAATTAACTATGATATTTAATTCTTTATGTGCGATAGAATTTCATATGTCTGCTATGAACATATGAATGCTATGAAGTCTGCTATGAACATATGAATATCAAAATATTCGGTGGAACTACAGCTTATCCAACTCTCATGTTTAATGTCTTATACAGAGCAACTCTAAATGGAATGATTCATATTGCAGCATATCCGAATACTGAAAAAAAAATCCGGAAATTTATTTTTATCTGTTGGCTAAATACATACTTCCCATAATATAAATGGGGATATTTTGTTTGTGTTTGGTGGTTTTGTTTGTTTTTTATGTGAACCGAAACTATACAGTAAGAAAAGTAAAATGTAAGATTTTTTTCGTCAAAATTATGCAATTAATTTATTTAAATTTATTTAAACATACAGCCCATTTTAATTAAAATAAAACAATAAAATGACTTTTTATTTTCGCAGTGTCAAACACTGAGCATGCAGTTTTGTTTTTGCTTGTGCTGGTTTGTTTTGTTTGTTTTTTACTAAAACAAAAATTATACACTAAGAAAAGTAAAATATAAATAATTTGCTTCCGAAAAAATTAGGCAATAAATTTATTTATGTTTACTTAAACACACATCCCATTTAAATTAAAATAAAACAATAATATCACTTTTCATTTTCGTATTGTCAAATACTGAGTACGCAGTTTTGTTTTTGTTTGCACTAGTTTACAGTTAAACAGAGAAATTTGTTTATTTCTGTAAATTAAAATGCATAATTTATTATTGCCTTGTTAAAATTAAACTAAGCCAATAAGTTTTCCTATAGATTTCTATAGTCACAATTTGTAGCTACGCTTGAAGACAGTGTTTATACCCATTCCAATTTTATTCATTTATCTAAATTATTTGAATTCTTAGAAGAAAATGCACTATTCTGTATTACTTCCTTTTTTCCATAACTGGTGTCTGCTTACTCTCAAAAATGAAAACATATCTGTTAACAACAGACTTCGTTTTTATGTCTAGGCAGAATAATGAATCTATATTGGAGCCATGTTTTGTATTGGCTAAATAACGTATCTTCTTCTTCTTCTTCTTTTTTTTTTTTTTTTTTTTTACTTTTTCATCATTTTGTTTTTTCTAATAAGGGTATTTATATATTTGACAGTTAATTTTAGTATTAAAATTCATTTCAACATATTAATTCATTTACCTAATCATTCAAATGAAATGCAGTTTTTTTTGTTGCAAATGTACTTACTTCCATTTTTATATGAGAATGAGAAGCCACGAGCTCCATTATTCACCCCGTCACTATGAAAAGTAACAGAGTATCCACTCTCGATAACAATTTCGTGCGGGTGTTTCGAACCACACAGCCGAAGTGTACTGACATCCTGATACTGGAAAGAAAGGGTATTAATGAAAATAATTGTTTTAAGTTAAATTCAATCTGAGTAGAAACTTTAAAAGCGGAAAATGTATTCATGGCCAGACGTTTGTGGAATAAAAATTTCACAATAAACAAACTATGCAAATTTTATTATAAACAGAAACAAAATTTCTAGATATTTTTGAAGTTCCACAAAATATTGAGTATGTCTATCTTTGATGCTAAGATCGATAATAATAATAATTATTGCTTCACAGACGTGCTAAGATATCAAGATAATTTAAATTAGTCACAGCATTATTATTGGCCCACCAGCGGCCGAGCGGTAAAGTCGCTGAACACTGGTAGTTCGGTCCGAGGTTCGAATCCCGCGAACGGGCTGGCTGCATGGGCGTTTTCGTGGTTTTCCCCATGTGTAACGTATATACGAGCCAGTACGAGCCAGTTTCCCTTAGAAAGTCCTCCACGAAGGCATCCCTCCCCTTAGGCAGATAGCCCTCGAGGCTTTACCATAATCACACACACACACACACAGCATTATTGATGCGATTGTCAATATCCTGGATTTTAGCATATAGTGCAGGCACGAGGACGTTCTAGAACGTTCCACAAAATTCTTGATAAAACCCATAAGGAAAAAGTCACATGGGACCAAAGCAGAAGAACATGCTTACCACAGCATTATAGCAGTCTCCCCGTCCGTCACCATCGAGATAGATAAGGCCTGCGCGCTGAGTTACTACGTCACTGCTAGGGAACCGGTCTTCGTGCAGTTTAGCTTCCTTGCTAAACACTCGTTTTTCTAAACCTATTCTATAAACTTTGTATCTCATACTATAAAATCAGTCTAAAACAAAATTACAAGCGAGCAATATAATGTTTTACAAAGCTTATACGAATATGAAATATTTTCATTTTCATTTTGTTGGTATTTATTTTCAAAACAAAATTATTTGAGAATGGTATGGTGCTTTTAAAAGCAAAATCATTTCTTTGAAGGAAAAATTAGGTTTTAAAATTCAAGTAGCAAAAATTTTTACTTTGATTTTTCTGTACTGTCTTTGTGTCTTTCGTTGATTCTCACACCACCGCATCAAATTTTTTTGTTTCACACTCACCCACTACTTTAACAAAATGTTTGCCAGTGGGAACACATATTATCTCTCAATTCTATAATCATATTGCATATTTTTATTTATATCTATCATAATTAATGTAGCAGGATTATAAAACATCAAACGAATGCAAAGAGACTACTTAATATTTAGACTAACAATTTAAATGCCTTATATCAGTCAGAAAATTTTTTTCTGAATGTAATAAATTACTAAATAGTCTATCTTTTAAAATTATTTCTTACATTACATATTGTATGTTAATCTTGTATTTACAGTTAATGTTTTCCTCTTAATGCTACGTATAATTATTCGACAGAATCTTATAGTTAAATTGAGATAATGTTTATTACATAGCTCTGAAGACTATCAATATTAAAATTCCCAAATAAGACAGGAAAAAACGTTTTTTAAATAAACTTATGCACAATTTTTTTGAAAATATTTTTAAAAATATATGAAATAACTTAAAAGAATTTTTAGAAACTGAAATTTCTTGCAAATATTTACATTATACCTATTTAACTATAAGCGTTAACCTCTTATTCTGAAAATATCTTTTCTATTAATATCCACATGAAAAGAAAATATAAATCTTAAAATCATGTTCAAAATTTTTTTGTATAATGTAAGCAATTTTTTTAACTTACCTTACATAGTCTTTTTGGTGGTGCCACATACTCAAATTATAAGATTGTGTAATTTAAAAGATAAATTAGAAAAAAATTGTTTTTAAAACTGCATTGAATTGAAATACAATGAAAACAAGTATGTCTACATATGAATTCAATTACTACTGCTTCTTTAATAACTGTACATTTTTAAAATTTCAGTTTGCAGTTTCGCAATTTAATTACTTTAATATGAATCTTACATATATTACTTTAGAAAATTTTCTATCATTCTCAGAAAGATTTATATTGCATAACAAATTTTAAACAAATTGATTGCATGATAATAACATATATAAAAGTGAACAGAAGCTACTATATTAGCTAAACATATGCATTTAAATTTCATCATGATAAAATGATGTTTAATGATTTGCAAAAAGCTTTGATATTTAAATTTAAGAACACAGTACTCTGTCAAGAATCAAATTTACTCAGCATTTGATATTCTACATATTATGTAATGAAATAAGTGTTATGCTTTTAACCTCTTAGGACAGTTATTTCATATAAAATTAGTTTCCAATTAAAATAAATAATCATAAATTTTGCTGACAATTTTTATATTACTAGTCTTGGTAATTATTACAAAGGATGATGCTTCAGATGTCAAAAGGAAACATAAATTCATCCCTTAAATCATAATGAATAAAAAATTACAACTTATAAAAGCCACAGAACGTTTACAAATAAATGTGCAATAAATAACTGATTTTTTTAAAGTGGAATGTTTTCTAAAAATAAATACTTATTTTAGATATTTGCTTTCTGTGTTTGCAGTTTCTTTTAAACAGGGTTTTCATAGTTATCATTTTTTACATGTGTATTTAATTAGGCAAAGCACACGAGGCTATCTGCCTAAGGGGAGGGATGCCTTTCGTGGAGGACTTTCTAAGGGAAACTGGCTCGTATACACGTTACACATGGGGAAAACCACGAAAACGCCCATGCAGCCAGCCCGTTCGCGGGATTCGAACCTCGGACCGAACTACCAGTGTTCAGCGACTTTACCGCTCGGCCGCTGGTGGGCTTCATTTTTTTTTTTTTTTCAACAGTAATTCTTAAGTAAAATGTCTAATCCTATTACAATCTTTTTAAGTATAAAGTGCAATATATCCGCTGTTATGGTTTTCACAGGTAAAATATGCACAACAACACTGAGTAAGCTCTGGATCAAAAAAAAAAAAAAAAAAAAAAAACATAAGCACTTGTTGCTGCATGCTTAGTGTTAAAAGAAGAGCCAACAATATTACCTCCTCTGAAATCTAAATATGGTTTAATTTGTATTTCATCCATCATTACAGAAACAATTCTTTCATGAGGTTGAAGTTCCACAAATTTCTCTCTCACTTAATGAAGGAAGTTTACTTCAAATTGCTCTTTAAAGGGACTTGCATTAAATTGAGTACGAGTTTTTCTAACTGTTGCTGGATGGGGAAGAATTATATTTCCCGAATGTCGTAAAAATTTATACGCGTGTGGAGATATGGAACGCAATAAAGTTGAAAATATTAGCCTTTCTGGTGAGTATCTCCGTTTAACTTTATTGACCGAGAAAAGTGAAACTTGTTCGGCCAAAAAATTAAGAACAGTTTCTTCGACTTCGTCATTCAGCTTAAGAAGGCCCAATAATTCCAAAATTGTATCCAAAATTGACTGAATATCATTTTGAGCTACAGGTATTAACAGAGACTGTACACCATATAATATTTCTTGGAGATTTCTGATATCTCCAACTTTTCACCGGAAAGTTACGTTTCTTTGCATGATTTTTATTGCAGCATTACCAATAAATGCTGAGACACTTAAATCATATTTAAGAACAACAGAGGCTTCAATAACTGGTGCTGCTTGAGTATTGATGTGAATAAATAATGTCTCATCTTCCTTTCTGATTATAGACCAAAATAACGGGATTTGCTGAGTCCTCTAAGCACTTTAAAAAGTTTGCATATGTTGAAAACATGTATTTTGCTTCTTCTTCTGCTTTCATTCGTTTCATGCTTTCCTGTAGAGCCAAATGCAGTTGCTGATTTTGTAATCGTATTTTTTTAAATCATACGGAGATTCTCGATTTTGTTTCTAATAGGATAAATATGCGGGACAACCCGGAAATAAAGATAGTATTGCTTCTTTCGTTAATCGAGAACGTGAAAGAAGGTGCACTTATTTTTTTTCCCCAGAGGATGGATCATATACTATGCACTTGTCTCCATCTCAATATCTTCATCTTTCAAATGAAGTTCGCAAACTTTTGAAGCTTTCGTTAATTTAAAATTGCTCCGAGGTATAGCTTTAAGCCATTTCGTTTTTAAAATTTCATTAGATGGGAAACTGTAGACTCTCACACGAGGACCATTATCATAATTTCCTTTGCATCCAGGAACAATACACTGGAAAGGCATAATGCTGATAACACAATTTCGCACGAAAATATGCAGAAACAAAAGTGTATCACTAAGCAATCAACTTGAAAAAGCAATGAATAATGCACAAATGTTAATAAAACTAACGAAATCTAAGCATCTAATAAGAGCGTGTGAAGTATGTCTAACAGTAACAGTTAAGTATGTCTTGTTAAGAGGCATGTGGCTCCTGGTAACAGCGTTAAGAGGTAGGTGGACAAAGAATACTGAGAAAGTTTCGGGGAGTGTTATTGTGTGAGTTATTGCTGAGGGTCCCTTACTCGTGACGTCACAAGCCAGTTTCGATTCAGAGCGCAGGCCTTCTCTATCTCGATGGTGACGCCCGTCCTGTATGCCCTATCCACCTCAGACACAAATTTCGAAAAATTCTTGCAAATAGTGTCTATTTTTATAAAAACGTTTGAGTAAGGAGTGGAAATTGGTCTCTTATAATCTCTATGGCAGCGAGCTAGATAGCTCTCCACGTATTAATTAAATAGGAGAATAATTAAATTAATGCAAAGAAAAGGCTGTTTTTGGTGCTGCCATCTGTTGGTCCTATTAAGTGTTAAAAACACATTATCAGAGGGGGGGAACTGAAAGGTTTCAGATTTTTTTAAATTACGTCCAAAGGGGTGTTCAAAATTACGTCATTCAAAATTCGATGGCTCCATGTACCGTTGTTTTATCACAATGCGAGAAATATACATACATTTATGCAGATTTTTCATTATTTAATTTCTTCAAATACTAAAATGCAGGACTGTAACATTTGGTGGCAACAGTTTGATTCACTGTTTATAGTGATTCAATGCAAAA